GGCTAGCAAACTGCAGGTGCTGCCCGTGCCTGAAGGCCCAGCCCTGGCTGCCTGCTGAGAGCTGTGCCCACCGTGGTGAGAACGAACCAGGCTGGCACACTCCTGGGCTGCCACAGACTTAAGGACAGAGGAAATGAAACTGAGAGTTTTGTGAATTCCATACACTTTTGTTTCAGCATGGTGTTTCGTTTTGCTTTCAGATTTCGAACGGAGCAACCATAAAAGTCTTTAAAAAGAAGGCAAATACCCGATCAGGTAACAAAGGAACTGCAACCTATTTAATCTTTTGTGGAGAACGGGCTGGGAATGCAGAGAGCTGAGCTATGACAGGTTGTATCTTGGTCAATAGGAGGTCAGAAAAATCTTGGTCAGAAAAATCATCACTTCGATATAGCTGAGACAAATGAAGAGCCACGTTACCCTGGCTTTGGGCCTCTGGCAGGCACAATGGGCCTACAAGGAGGGCAGAAGGCAAAGGAAAGGAGGACAGAAGGACTTGCAGCCCTCAGCAAATGAATGCTTAAAGATGCGGACTCATAGGCAGGAAAGCAGGGAGGGAAGCCCCGGGTGGCACAAAGTGCTGACTGGTGAGACCAACACAGGGAACATGCCCTGCTCAGGTGCCCCGGCGTTGTGCATCACGGGCATTGTGGTGCACTGTCCAGGGACAGTCATAACAAAAAACCCACAGTTTTGGAATTTTCCTTAATTTTCTTGACTATGTTTCTGAAAGCTTTGGTTCAGCTGTCTCAACAGCAGGTCAGGAGTTAAAGGGTGCTTACAAGGGGTCAGTTCATCTCGCCTACCCCTGTAGGTGGACTTTCTGCAGCCCCTGGGGAGAAACACACACTCCTAGCGTGTGATTCACCTCACCATCAAAGTGGACACCTAAAGTTAGGAGAGATGTGTCCCTGAGGTGCCAGTCGCTGCGATGGCGTTGCTCTCTCCCTCAGCAAGAACAGGGTGGTTTGTTCTCAGCCATTGCTTTCAAGCCTGACCTCATCCCGCCTGCACGGAGGAGTACCCTTACAGGCTAAACCATTGCCATCATCTCATCTGCTGTCTGTTGTCCTCCTTTCAGAGGAGCTGCAATTTGCTTCCAGCTTACCCCAGCAGCAGATGATGATGCCCTAGCTTAGTGGTCTGAGCTACAGGTTGGCACTGGGGAGGTGAGCCAGGACCTGTGCACTTCTCAGAGGCTTCCCCCACGCTGCAGGCAGGAAAGCGTGAAACCGAGCCTGCTTGCTCAGCATCCTGGCATGCACCCTGCTGCACAGCCCGGAGCCCAGCAGAATTCGCAAGCTTGTAGCTGTGTGTTCCATTAATGCCTGTTTGCTCTCTGCTTTCTGTTGTTTAGATGTGGACTATTCGGATGAACACTGTCATTTGGTGAGTTCAGTCATTATGCTGTTAAGTGGTAGATTTAGTACTGAGCTGTATTTGTATCTGTGTAATCTCTCTAATCTCTTCACGACAGATTTTACCAGACTCCGAAGCAAACAAAGATTTGAAAGGAGCAGGTCACAAAGGAAAGCAAAAATTCAAAGTGAAAGAAATGTATCTGACAAAGCTTCTGTCAACCAAGGTAAACTGTAAAGGCCTTATTTTGGGGAAGGGCTGATGTTAGGCTTGGCTAGTCTGGCACAACTGAAATAGAAATTAAAGCAGAAATTACGCAGACTTCCTGTGTGTGTATCAAATGTTAAATAAAAAGGTAGCCTATAAAAAATCACTGTGCTAACTGTGGATTATGACCGTTGGCAAAGACAGAGACATTTCAGGTTTTCTAATGCTAGAGTTCTAAAATCGTCTGTTACTCACAGTCTATCTCCTCAGTAAGCACAACATTTTTTCTCAGGTTAAAGAAAAAAAGTAGGTGTTGATCTTATAGAATTTTGCCACTGAGTCCCACAGAGCAAGAATGGTCCCTTCTGGAGAGACAGCCTTCAGTCAACGATCTCCTCACTCTCTACTAGAGTTTGCCCAGCTTAGAGACAACTTCCGAGGCCTGAGTTTCACAAAATACTGCCCATGAAATGGAATAATCTTTTAGGGTCTCAAATTAAGCATCCAAAATAACTAGATTAATGTTGAAAACAAGGTCCTTAGGATTTATGATACGATTATCTAATTTGTGCAATGCACATTCCTTAGGAGTAAGCCCTGCTCGCTCCCTCCAGTAATGTCATCTTGTTTCTGAGTTACTCAAAAGGGTTATAAAACTCTTTGCAACATCATATTACTTATATTAATCAGTGCACAACGCTGGGAGCTGTGTGATACAAGAGGCCTGAAGGGATGATGATTGTGGCCTTCTTGCATTTAAAAATCTGTCAATCATCATTTAATTAGATTGTTGATAGCATCTGAAGTAATTTGGGACGCGACCCAAAGTGAGAGTGAAGACTGGTCATTTTCATTAGCTGTGGAAACTAACATAAGCCCTTAGGAATTGCTGGAGTAATCCAGTAATATCTTGTAGTGGAAGACTGCAGTACAAAAGAAAAGATCAGGCTCTTAAGAAACGGTCCTTTTAAAGGGCTTTAAATTAATCATCTCCTTTTCCAAAGCAGGATAGTGCTCTGAACAACAGTGCTGTGATAACTGTGAATTTCCACCCATGATACGCCGTGCACTAAAGGAAATTACATTGAACTGTGTCTCTCTCCCTCTCTCTCGCCCATACACACACAGACACAATTGCAGAGTTTGCCACGTGAGTTGAACTGGCCAGGAGCACGTCAAGGCCCTGGGATACACTTAAATCCTTCTTGTTGAGAGAAGATTGGGCTGAACTGAGCTTCAGAACAGATGTGAAGAAAAAAAGCACAAAACCATGTTTTGCTCTGTTTGCCTCTGAGTACTCTGTGATGACGTTAGTGAGTCCATCAGCAGCCAAGCCCTTGCTTTTGTGAGCCAAACAGCTTCACTTCTGGATCAGAAATACCCAGTTTTCAGTTCTTCTTTCTAATATTAGTGTCTTTGTACGCCACCCAAAGCTGTTATCCTAGAATTAGATCAAGCACCGCAGTTGCTTGGCTGTGAAGTGTGGATGAGCACGTGTTCAACGCAGATGGCACCATGAAGACCAGTGCCCTAGAAAACGGGTTAAACTCCTGCTCACCTCCCTCCTACTTCCAGTCACAAGTTCCAAATGCCTTTAGCATCGGTGCCAACAGTATCCGAAGAGTTGTCTTTGTTGGAACGAGTGATTCCTTCCACCTATGATTTATCGCAAAACTCACCACAAGTCTCCTGTTGGTAAAGTGATAGGACATGTGACGTTTCAAAGCAGCTCATTATGGTGTGTTTGTAGTTTCATTTTTGTTATTGACTGTCTTGTTTGGCAATAACCTATGGCCTAGGTGTTTGCCACAAGCTTATTGTAGTTTCTCTGTGTGGTTACCCTGGGGCACACTCAGCTCTCTGAGGTAAGAAATCGTATTCTTTTCTTGTGTAATAATAGCACCATTCATTTTCTTACTTTTCAGGTTGCAATTCATTCAGTTGTTGAAAAGCTCTTCAGGAGCATTTGGAGTTTACCCAACAATAAAGCACCTGTTGCCATCAAGTACTTTTTTGACTTTCTGGATGCCCAGGCTGAGAGCAAAAAAATTACTGACCCTGATGTGGTCCATATATGGAAAACCAACAGGTATGCCGGTAGGATACGCGCGGGAGTGGGCGCGCTCTCTGAAAATGTAGTTGCAAAGATAGAACCGGTCACCTG